GTTAACATACTGATATCCACCAAGCCAGCATTTCTACTGCACACACATAAGGGAGTGATTTGTTGGAGCAGAACTGCAGTGTCAGGCTAATGCCATTGATCTTTTAAAAATAAAAAATTATGGTGAAGAATTTGAGGGGAAAACGTATGTGAAGAATTATATGGTCTTTACAAAAAAAGTAATGGGTCAAATTTTAGGCTCTCATTCCATGGCACTTTAAAATTAATTATTATTATTATTATTGACATGTTCATGGTTCCATAGTTAAGAGTGAGTTGAGTTTTGCGCTGAAAGCAGGGATTTGATCACTTGATTATGTATGAAAACTAAAGAGCATCATCCCTAAAATTACAACATTTAATCTTTGAGCCAAATGAGTTTTCTGAGAAATTACAAGTAAATCTGCTAATTAGTTTATTAGTTAAAATTAATTTTAAAATTGGCCAATTGCAGAATTTAGTACCCAATGTCAAGCCCTTTGTTCCTTTGTCTGGAATTCTGAATTAACTTTGTAATAGAACACCACAGATGCTTCCGAATTCCCCTATAGTGAAATCATGTGCATAGGCTACATGAAGGGCGGGGGGGGTTGCGTTTTTTTTTTTCCTATTAGGATTACAGATAATTTTTCCTAGTTACTCTTCATAACTGAAAGTTTCTCCATCAGCAGCATCTGATGAATAATATATCTACAACAGAGAATACCCTGTAAAATTGCAGGCTTTCAAAATGGCTGATACCACCCATCATTCTCAGTTAATTGGGGTCACAATTGACCCACAGTTAAGTGGCCATTTTGAAAGAGTGGTGTGTATCTTCCATTGTTCTCAAGGGGATGCAGGCCACAGACTGCTCTTAAAAAATGGCCACTGGTTTCATGTTCATTGGAAACAATGAGAGGTGGTGGCCAGTTTCAAAGAAGGCGCACATTGTATTACTTCTTGCTGTTAGTGATACAATGAAGGAGGAGGAGGAAGAGGAGGAGTGCGGGGAGGGGATGAATGCATCTTTACAAAGCAGATCAATCTAATCTGGAACCACAGACCCTAAAACATCTTAATCATAAACAGATGGTTATTGCATGATGTCACTGAAGAGCAAAGTTAAAGGTTATCTGGGTGTCCTAATGGTGCATTTCCACACCTCAAAATGATTTGATTTATTTTCAATTTAACTTTAACACTGAAGTTTTTGGTTTCTAACACTTGGTTTTGGAAACATTCCTATAATGTATTCCGCAAGTTACTGTCATTTACTTTCAACCTTCATCTTGGTTTTTGTTTGGAAATTCATTGAAGGCCCAATTCTGAAATTCTTATTGATGCTTAGTAGTTCTGGACAGGTCAGGGCAACTGCACCTGTATGTCCCCTTTGTGGTCCAGCAAGGGCACCCAATCTCAGGCTTCCAGGTCCCCACTGTTACCACTTTTGGGTGGAGACCCACCTCTCTCTACGGGCCATTCCCAGGTTGCACAGTTCCCTGCCTTCACTGTGTATTTTCCAGCCCAGACAGATTGCTGGGCACCTGCTGCAAGGACACCTGCTGCTTTCTCTGCAGAGACGGATAACTGAAATATAAGTTACAATACAAATCTTTCTAAACAAGCCTACTTTATTCTTAAGGTAAAAAGCATTACAGAGAAAACATTAAAAACCTACATGCCTGCTAATAAGCTTATTAATTATCATCCCATCCTAGGGGTTTCTTTGCAGTTACAAGTTCATCACAGCTTCAGCTGAGAATAACCACACAATCTTATGAGGCCTCAGTAGGCCCAATCCTCTCCTAAGGATTGGGGCCTGGCCTTCTGTGGACTAGGAATCCCATCTGTTTGCTGGATCAGGAAAAAGGCCCTGAGTCATCTTAAACCCAGACTTTTTATCCACAAATCTTTTCTTTGTTCGTCTCTGGAGAATCCAGTTTGAGCTAGTATATGCATATCTCCCCAGGGGATGCTTCAAAGGCTGATAAGGAAGGAAGTTCATCACCTCCCAACTAGAGAAGGTACATATAGTGCAACACCATATACACAATTGTATTTTTAATACAATGTACCCAAAGGTATTAACCCTAATTCAGTAAGGTTTAGCTTAATTCAATTAAGTTTATGTTAATTCCATAAGGTTTCTTTAGGATATTGTCAGTCTGTCACAATTCTTAAACACACTGAGTTCAATGGCACCCTCAAGTGCTACTCAACATAAGGGTTGGGGAATCAGGCCCTAAATATTTGTCAAGCTTTCTTTATCAGACTGTAGGGAAACACAATTCCCCTTTAACATTCAGAAAGTGAAAAGTTCTATGCTGAGTTGTGCTGGATCAGTTCATTGAAATACCACCGAAATTACCTTAGGCACTGGGAGAGGGACAATTTCTCCTGCTGTCACCTGCCAGAAAAATATTTTCCCCTTTTAATATTTCATATAGAGGAAGGTCCCGCCAGAGCTTGTACTCACCTGGCAGTATGAAGCTTTTTAATGTAAAGGATTTTGTTCCTTAATCAATGGCATACCGGTATATAAACTAATCTCATGTAAGCAAATAGAGACACAATTAGTCTCATCTCATCTTTTCCAGATCTGTCCTACCTCTATTACTCTCTCCCCTTTTGTATTCACCCTACTGTTTCAGTTCCTACAGTATTTTTTAAATCTCCTGTTAACTATTCACAGATGTTGCTTCAAATACACTGGTGGTATGCAGAACAGAAAGAAGGTTTTAATTAAACAAATACTATTCTTGGCAAGTAAAAAGAAAAAGTAAGTTTCTTTGCTATCTTCTGGGAACTTCTATAATAAACAATAATAAATAAATAAAATAATAATAATATAAATGTATTATTTGTACACCTTGAAGTCCCAACCAAGATCTGGGCCTCATGTGGTGCTAGTCACTGTACACGCACGCAGGAGACAAATCATGCCCCCAAAAGTTTATAATTTAAACAGGTAAGGCAGACCATGGGTGAGAAAAAGGAGGAAGTATTATTATCATCCCTGAACAGAGGCATAGAGAGGTTAATGACTCAGCTGAAGTCATGCAGGAAATCAGCGGCAGAGCTAGGAACCGAATTCAGGTCTCCCAAGTCCCAGTCAAATATCAAACACAAGAACCTAAGCCTGACCTGAGGGAATGCTGAGTTTTGTCATTTCCGTCACACTTTGAGGCCCTATGTGACAGCCACAATTCTTCAGTCCAGAGACAACAGAATGGGATGCACTTTGGAGTCTGTGAACAGTGATGCCTAATCAACTAAACCAATCACTGTGGTATAACAAGAGGAATGCCCTTCCCTTAGGGGTTAAGTGCTTCAAAACTCCAGAGAGAGAGGGACTGGGTAGAAACCAAACCCTGGTCCCCCACAGCAGGGGCAGACTTATTGGAAGTCTTTTGATTCAGAACACATTTTTCAGATCAGAACAACCTATTACTCCACAGATTTTCCAATGTTTTCCCTCTGTGGACAACTGGCTAATACAAAGAGCCTCTCAGAGACCAGCTCAGTAATTCCCCCAAAGCTTTGTGAGACACCACTTCTAGAAATATTGCATTATTGGGATAGGACAAGAAAGGAACATTTATACTAATGATTTCCCAGCATCCCTCCTCTAGCAGGGTTTTCTTTTGCCTCACCTTGTTAGTAGAAGTTAGAACCATGCATGGATATGTTGACTGATTGCTATTGAGATAGTGGCAGGTACAGCTTGCCCTGCATATCAGGGATGTGAGAAGGGCTCTCTGGAAACTAGGACAGTGCAAATACTGGAGAAAATCAATTGGAGAAACAGCCAAACTCTGCAAGGAAGTTTAGGCTGAGGTTTATGCTGTGCTATTATTTTTGAGTTACCAATAAAACCAAGCTACCAGAAGAGGATGAATTTAAACATTCAGAATCTGTGTCCTCTTTTGAAGATGAGTTATACACTCAACCTGTCTTTTCACCAACAAAAAAAATTGGTGGATCCTGGAAGGCCTGGAAAAATCCTGGAAGGCCAGCTGATTTTAAAAGTCTCTATATAGAGATATCCATTTCTGTATATGAGTAGAATGGCCTTAAAATTTAAAGTTTAACAATGAACTGAATGACTTTGTCAGTAGATTAAAGAATGCTAACTGATCAGATTAGAATCCAAGATGGCTAATCCATGAAGTAACAGACTGAGCAAGGCATAGGAAGACAGACAGAATTTGTTTATATGCATGAGTAGGAAACTAAGGTGACAACCAGGGTTATTCAATATAGCATGAGCTCTCTGAGGGCTGCATAATAAACAAGAAAGAAACCTTTGCTGGTGGATTTTTTACTAACTAGGGCTCAGAATATAAAACATTTTAATTGCAACACTTGTTTCTGTTTTATAGCATCTAAAATTGGGTACACACTAACAATGGAGAAGCTAAAGTGTGTAAGAATAATCTTAAACATTCAGCTATGGTACCTCAAATCTTCTTATGTGAAAGACCTTTGTGCCCCATGGCATTGCTTACTCAATACAGCTATCCTAACTTGTGGTGGTAACTGGTGTTTGAGGCGGTTTATATAAATAAATACCCCCCCCCCCCCCACCTTGGATGCTGTATTTTGCACCCCAGGTAGGGAGTTTGAGAGGTACCCATTGCCCAAGGATTAGACAGCAAGTAATCAGGCCCCTTCTTGAACATCAGATGCACCTTAACTTTTTGCACTATTGATCCAACTGCTGATAACACACCTTCGCCCAGAAACAGTACCAGGCATATTGACAGAGGGAGCCACAGCTAATCCTCTACACAGGCTGCCCATGGCCGATTTCTGCCGCCTCCGACTGCTATGGCCAATCAGGCACAGAACAGCGGAGATTAGAATCGAACCCACAGCTGTACGGTCCCAGCCCACTCCCCTAAAGCAGACCTCGGTCTCAGTCTCCACCTCCCTCCTTTAGCTCTAACCCCGCCCTCACGCTCATAGGGAGAGAAGCATAGTAGGCTATAGCGCCTGCGCACACTCTTTTATCCCAGGGAGCACCGCCTCCCGGCAGCGTCCTGACGCTCGCTCGGGAGCACGTGACGCCCGCGGGACAAGGCGCCTCGTTGTCACGCGCACACAGCACAGCAGGGGCCAATCCAATGGCAGCGCACAGAGGTCAAGCGGGCGCGCGCCGGAGGATAGGAGCCGAGAGGGGACACGAAAAAGACGCCGGGCGGCGCCAAGAATAAAAGCGCATCACGTGGTGTCAGCATGGCTGGGGATGAAGAGGAGGCTGCGGCAGGAGCGGCGGCCGAGTGTGTACAGAGCCGGCGGTTGCCTGTGCGGGGCCTCATGGGGGAGTCGAGACCCCCCGCGGACTGTGCCAAGCGCTTCATCTGCTCCTTCCCCGACTGCGAGGCCACGTTCAGCAAGGCCTGGAGGCTGAACGCGCACCTCTGCCGGCACACGGGGGAGGTGAGAGGGCGGGGCCAGGAGGAGGGGGCGAGTCTGAGGCGGGGTGGGGCTGGTAAGTGGGCGGGGCCAGGGCTGGCACGGGAGGGGCGGGGCTGGGGCGAGTTGCACACCTATGGAGCCCTGCTCTCCTGGGGTGGGCTCTACTCAGTGCCTCTCACCCCAAGAGCCCAGAGCTGTGGGAGCCTTTGCCTGCTGCGCTGCCCTGGTAGGGTGACCTGCCAGATGAACCAGGCCTGGTTCGCTGCCACCTGGGGCCACGCACATGAGGTCCCGGGGGCTGCCTGTGGGCAAGAAACAGGCAGTCTGCATGGTGCAGCTGGCATGGGGCTAGCAAACATGTGCTCTGTGCCTAATGCCTCTGCCCGCCTGAGGAACTGTCACAAGATGCCTGAAGTGCTTTGAAGACAAGTTGCTGGCACTGCTCACATAATCCTATAGAGCCCCCAGGACTGGTGTGTGCCAGGGGCCTGTGCCTCAGATGTGCAAGCTGCCCTATTGTGTGCTTTATGGGACCTTCCTGCCTGCCCCCCCATGACATAGCCCTGGGGAGGGGCAGCAGTGTCTAACTGGGCATTTTGCAATGGCATAAGGCAGGAGTTGAGGGATATCAAGAAACTTTAGGGCAAGGAGCAGAGCCTTCTCTTCAAGGCGGTGACTTATTTCAACAGGAAACAGTTCAGAGGAAGTGATGCACTAGGCATGCAGCATTTCCTGAGCACAGCTGTGTAAATGTGCATTGGGACTCCTGGGTACCATTTATAACTTTGCTGGGCAGTATCAATTTGGAAATCACATTTTTCACCTGGTGTCTGCTGTTGTCACAAGCAACCACTGTGATTACTGTGAGTAAGAGAGATAATAAAAAACTCCTTGTTTTTCTCATCATTTTATTTTGAAGGTTTGGCAACACTGTCTAGGTGATTTCACTTTTATTGAGGGTGCACACCCTTCCCTAGGTTCTGCAAGAGGATGTTTACCATTCATAGTAACAGTAGAATTTAAACTGGAAGTAACCAAGTCACAGACAAGAGTGTGAATTAGTGGGGAAGGGGTGACTGAGCATGTTTGGTGATGGTATGCTCAGACTGGTTAAGAAGCCCTTTCTAAACATAACAGAAAAACACAAACACTAAATTGCCCTTTAAATTACAAGAATTTTTTAAAAATCCTGGTATAACAAAGGATGTTCTCTCAGAAAATTGATTTTAAAAAATTGTCACTTAAAAAAAGCTCCCACTCACATTGCACTTTAACCTCTCTGTGCTTTAGTCGCCTTATCTGTGAGGTGGTGATCCTTCAACTGACTTTGAACAGACTCCCTTCCCTGTCCTTTTCCCCTAGTGAAATCATTTGGGGCTCCCTGGGATTGCATAGTCAATTGCAGGATTGGTAACCTCTCCACAGCACTTTACAAACCTCTGATAACTCCTCAAGCTCCTTGGGTGAAAGAATCTATAGAAATAGAAAGCATTGTACCACGTTAATAGCCTACAACAATTTAAAAGGACACTATCTATTTGAAATCTAGTTAGTTAAAAGTAGATCCAGGTCCTTCAGGTGTCTGTCCTCCTACCAAATTTTGTGGCTTAACCATCAAACTTCCCTATTTTATTTTTAAAGTGTGTGTGCTTTCCCATGTGGCTGTATGGAAAAACCACACAAAAAGAGGAAACTAACTTTCGTAAAATTGACTATACTCAAAATGCTGTCAAATACACAATGTAAACAAAAACTGCATTAGTATTTTTCTGTCTTTCAGTTAAACTATTGTAAGATCACCCTGTGCTAATTCTGAAACATTAATCATCTTATAAGAAACTTGTGTGAACTCGAGAAATAAACTCAAAGTCTTATGGATACAGATTTTTGGCATTTTCTTAAATTAAAAAAAATCCAGATTAAAGTTTGAGACTTCTTTTTATCTAGGAAAATATTTTAAATGAGTTCCCATAACAGTCTGTGTGCAACCTGAGGATATTAAAGTGCTTTAATTTTTTAAAGAGAACTTGTGCATATTAATGAATATTTTAAACATTTTCTGTAACTGTTAATGGTTTAACACCGACTAAACCTGTGCCCTGTATGCTCTGATTTTTTTTTTTCCTCATGGTTCTTAAATCCACTGTTTATATGGGAAAAAAAAATTACTTGGTTTCATTAATATAAGGGCAGCTTCTCCTGAAAATCAGTCTCCTAAAATAACTTACTTTTATGATTTTTAAGCAGTCTCTCTCTTTCTTTCTGTCAGAGACCATTTGTTTGCAATTATAATGGTTGTGGTAAAGGTTTCACCAGAGACTTCCATCTTACCCGTCACTTTCTTACGCACAGTGGAGAAAAACCATTTGAGTAAGTATTGTACTTGTTTCCTTCAGGCACTGAATAAGATGATTAGCTGCTGTCCTATAGAAACACACTGAAATAGAAAACTTACATTCAGGAAAGCCAAACAAAGTATAACACTAGTATGATTTCAGTGTCATAGAAACCAACACGAGCTGGCATGATGCTTCAGACTAGTGAGCCATCTAGCCTGGTATCCTGTATCTGGCAGTGGCCCATACCAGATGCTTCAGAGGATGGTGGGGTGGGAGGAATCCATAGTAGATGTTTATGGAATACCCTGTCCTTCTAGCACCAAGCAGTTAGTGGTTGGCTTGTGCAATGATGCCTGAGGGTTCTAGTTTATCTAATCTGAGGTAATTTTGCATGTTCTCAGTACAAATACCAAGTCCTTTACTGGAATCCTACTAAGCTCTTGGCCTGTCTTTGCTTTGATCAGTTTTAAATTTTTCATGCAGTTTCATTGGATGTCCCTTGCTTTTAGGTTGAGAGAAAGTAAATAGGACTACCTGATTTACTACCTTTGATGTTCCATTCACTGTCTGGGGGGGGAGAGACACCCATTTCTCAAATAACTAGCATTAACCTTTTCAAACTCTTCCAGTGGAAGTCTCTTCATGAGACACTGTCATTTAAACTTTCCTGTACTACTAAAATCTTCAGAAATCATCCTTTATTTTGTAATATATTAAAAATGCATATTGCCATGTACAAAATTTTATATGCCTGACTAACTAGAGCTGGGTAGGAAATTGTTTTCCTGCCTCCCTCCCCCCCCCCACCCCCCCCAGAATGAGACACCTTTGCCTGATTCAGAGCAGGGATTTGACCCTTGGTCTCCCACTTTCCAAGGAAAGTTTTTAATCAAATCTGGTAAATTCCCATGAAAGTTTTGGTTTAGAGAAAATGACGTTTTCTGACAACACAATCGTTTTGTCAAAAAATTCCCAACTAGTTCTATTACTAATACAAACGGGGGATGTAGCTATGTATTTCTTACTCTTAATGAGGTCACTGAAGCAACTGTGCAAATAAACTTATCAAGTAATTCTTACATTTTTTGCAAATGAACCAAATTGGAAAATGCAAAACCATATTAACTTGGTCAGCCAGGTCTTTTGTGCTAAACTGGATTGGGCATGGACAGAACTTGGAATACTAAGAGAAACAGGTTCTGTAGGTTGTTGGTGATTCAGCTGCTAGTATTTTGTCTTTCAATTAAGAAGTGAGCCAGTGTCCCAACATAGCTAGGGAGCACTACTGCTGAAGGGCCTCTCTTTCAAACGAGACATAAAACAGAGAACACTGGTGCTTGTGTAAATTTGTAGTGTTACTCTTGGCTGTTTAAACTACCACATATTGACCCATTTCATTGGGTGAAGTGACTTCTACATGGGTTGAACTCTCTTGGAGCTTTCAGGATGAAAGAAACTGTACAATTATAAGACTGTTTATTAAAAGATTTCAGGATTTTTTTTTAATATCATAATACTATAAAGCACTCCAACTTTTCTAACGCGAAGTACAAACTTCCAAGAATTGGTGTGGATATGTGATGGTCTGGGAGCCAGGAACCCCTAAATTTTAATATCTGTGCTCTGACAGGGATTTCCACTGTAGCCTTAAATGAATCACTTATCCTGCCATTTTATCTTTAAAATATAGATAATACTCTGTGGGATGGTTGTGAGGTTTGATTAATGTTTGTGCAATATTTTGGAGACACTGGTAGGTTCATTAAAAAATATTGACTTGTGTGTGTATATAAAGAATTAAACTCTAGCTCTTTCCCTTCACTCTCCTGATTATCTGAATATAGTACTAAGAAAATATAATTTATTTGCAGGTGCACAGCTGATGGCTGTAATCAAAAATTTACAACAAAATCAAATTTAAAGAAGCATGTTGAACGCAAGCATGAAAATCAGCAAAAGCAGTATGTGGTAAGTAACTCTTTGCTAATATATGCTTAGCATTAAATAGCCTCCACTTAAGTTAGTCAACCAAATATTCCAGACCCTGGAAATGTGAGTGCATGTTCAAATGTTGTTATAAAACACTTGCATATTTGGTACTGAATTTGTAGTATTAGCAAAAACCTGTGGATCATATTGGCCTTTCTCTAACCATAACCAACTTAATTTTCCAAACAGTGTGACTTTGAAGGTTGTAGCAAGTCATTTAGAAAACATCAGCAGCTAAAAGTTCATCATTGTCAACACACCAGTGAACCTTTTTTCAAGTAGGTGAATAATTTTAATAAACTGTAGATGTTCCCATATAAAATATTTAAATGAAATAAGATACGAGATCTTCAGTGTGGGTGGATGATACAAATCTACTTTGATTATGGACCTTTTATATGTAAACATGCTTTCCTTTTTTATTTTTAAGGGATGCTGTTAGGTTAACTTCAGGCTTAACAGCTTACTTCTCTACAGACATATGCATGTGTTCAACTATCCCTTCACTTTGCCAGTCTATTCTGAGCAGCAGTCCTGTGCTCCATAACTGGAAATAGTTTGTACATTCAATGCTTTGGATTTGTTACAGCATCATCCAACTGTATAGTTTAAACTTTACATATAAAGTGTAATCCATAGGTAGAATAGCATTTTCCTTTACCAGATTGGCTCCCCTGCCTGCTTCCCCATCAGGGAGTAGCTGCTTAATTAACACACAGGTGAGTGGTGAGCAAAAGTGAGTTAGGTGTAAGGACACAATTGGCTTGACTGAAAAGTACTACCTTTGTGGAGTTGTACGTCTCCATGAGCAAAGCAAACCCATATTAATTGATGGAAGCAAAATTAGGTCTTTTATTTCTTATAGGTGGAATTTTCTTATGAATTTCATTGTTACTTCTAACTATATATAGCATAACTGAAGGAGGCAGCATAGTCCACTGGCTAGATTACAAGAACAGGAGACAGATGCCTGTTGGTTTTACCCCACCCCACCCCCAGCTCTGGTATTGACTTATTGCATTGCTTTGGATGTATCATTTAACCTATCCCCATTTTCCAGAAGGAGAAACTACCTCACAGGGATGATACGAGGTTTAACTAAGCTTTTAAAGTCTTGGATGATACTTGCTATATACATAGAAAATGTTTCATAATTACAACATAAAGTTGCAGCTGTTGAGTGGATCAGGCTGATCAGAGCTGCACTGTGTAGTGTTCTATTTTATTGTAAAGAATATAGAGAATCTTTTTTTGAAAAAATACATTTGATTGCACCCTTCTAATTGCTTTTGGCTCATTAGTGTCTTTGCTTTGCCTCGTTTGATTGTTTTTAATGTGTTTAACACCTAGATGTAGTCATGAAGCATGTGGAAAACATTTTCCTACTCCAAGTAGACTAAAACGGCATGAGAAGATACATGAAGGTAATCTAGTTCTCCCTCTTACTTCAGTGTGACTGAAGCACCACAAAATAGCTTGTTTTTCAGGGTAGCCTGGGGGCTTGGAGATCTACAACCAGATCTAGACATGGCCCTCACTTCACGAACCAAATGGTCTAAATTGACACAAAACAGCACAGACTAATTGGATAGCTGGCTGAGGTGTAATTATAGGGTGTTGCAGTATTCAGTGTGTAACTTCACTTTTAATGTAAGTGAACATTCACAGGCTTGGCAGAATAGCTCCAAGTGTTTTTAGTCATACTGTTCAGGTAGGTCCTTCTCAATCACACTTTCCTTCCCTCTGAGATTATTTTGATATGATGACCTAGTGGTTAAGGCAGTAGCCTAGGACTTGGGAGACCTAGATACTGTTCTCTGTTCTGCCACATGCTTCCTGTGTAACCCTGGGCAAGTCACATAGGTCCCAATTTTTAAAGTTATTGAGGGGCTTAAAAATGCAGATGTGGGATTTTTGAAAAGTGCCCAGGTGCCTAACTCTCAACTTCTGAAAATTGCACTAGGTACCTGAATACCTCTAAAATTGTGCTCTGCTCAGCATTGCAAGGCATAAATGACATAGCAGTTTGCCTCATTTTCAAAAGTGATTTAGGTACATACACTGAGTGCCATTAACATTCAGTAAAACTTAATCTCGTATGCAAATTTAGGAACTTTAAATTCATGCCCACCTCATCCATACAGGGGAGTTACAGCACTTTGGTGCACATAGCTATTCACACCACCTTAGCCCAGATTGGAGGGCAGTGCAGATATGCCTTGTCTCTTTTGAAAATGAGACTTAGTTGGCCTGTCATTTGTGCCTTGCAATGCTGTGTAGAGAAGTGCCTAAATATCTTTAAAAATCTGTGCCCTAGCCTCTGACTCCATTCCTCATCTGTAAAATGGTGATAATAGTACCTGCTTACCTCACAGGGAGGCTGAGAATGAATACATTTGCTCCTGAGGCACTCAGATATTAGTGATGGGGACCCTAGAAGTACCTAATATAAGATAGAATTGCGCTCAGTTTTAACTCCAAGTCAAATGACTTAAACTAATTTAATCATACCTGATGCAAACTTGAGTCTTGGCAAATCAAAGATTGGTATGTGGCTTACACTGGTAGAATGTAAGAGGACAATAATCACAAAATCTAGGTACAATTCCAATAGCTTAAATATTGTAGGCCCGATATTTGGTTCCAGTCAGCTTTACAGTGTGAGTGCCTAAGTGCTGTTCTGCCCCATCTTAGTTCTTAGTGGGAAGCCGTCTAAGAACTGAGGATAGTCTGTGGGCCTTGCCCTCTGCTGAGTGCTAACAAAGGAGCTAATTGCAATGCCACTTCATAATGAGGTATCTTAATTCAGAATTGGACTGAACTACTCCTTTCACATAGGACAAATAGCCAGTGGCTTTTGGCTGCTATGAACTTGGAAGTGTGCTATATAGGTAATTGATGCCGTATCTGTGTATCCTAGCTAATTCTCCGAACCCTTGCAGCCCTCAAATTAACACTAACATGCTCTAGTAGCCTTACACACTGAGCCATGCTGCACATGCTGTGGATTTTAGGTATACATTAACAAAACAGATCTTTTTATAGCTTATGCACTCAGCATGAAAACAGTGTGGCTGCATTAGCATTGTTATAGAAACTTTAATTTTACATCTTCTGGTAAGTGTACAACTCCTGTGTTGCACTCCATTTTCCTGCCTTGAAAACTGAATTGAGTAAAGGAGGGGCAACTTTAGCTTGGTAGCAAATTTCATTTTTCTAAATGAAAGTAAGAATTTGCAGACTTCAGCAAGTTAGGGAAAATCTCCAAAATCATGAGACTTGCATTCTGTCCAACTCTCTTCTTGCTCTGACAGAGACAATAGCTTTTTTTGTTTTTGGAGGGTGGGGGGGTGGGGTGGGGTAAATGTTAATCTCCTGATACATTACCTCAGCAGCCACCTTTGCCTGTTAGGCTGTGTGAGTGCATAGTGATGTCCAAGTGGGAAAGGGATTCATTAGCCTTAGCTAAAAACCATTTCATCCACTTAGTGACACTTTTTTCAATCATAAAACTTAATCAGATTGTTCAAGATTCAGAAATATCATTATGCCAAGTTTCAAAATTCTTCCTTTGTGAAAGTCAGTTAAGTGCAAACTGTCTTTTGTGGGAGGGACAGGTAAGAGGAGGTCTGGAAGAAGATGGGAGTGCTCCACACCTTCTCAAAAACACCTCACACTCAGCTGACGAGTTTCCTTAACCATTCAAGCATTCTAAGTTAAGAATGACTTAGTTTCACTTATCTTGGACCTGTATTGAGCAGGTGTATATGTGTATCTAACATTTAGTTGACTGATCTCTGGCAAATTCACACATTTTAGTGTATTTTCTAAACCTAAGCAATGTGTTTAATAGGATATGTGTGCAAAAAAGACAACTGTTCATTTGTTGGGAAAACATGGACAGAACATCTAAAACATCTGAAGGACAGTCATGCAGGTAAGCTCAGTAAAACTTTTTTTACAGTTCTATACAGTGACTTAAGTTCAGTGCTCTAATGTATTGGGTAAGAACCCAAATACTAACTTAAAGGGAAATCTCACTAAACATTTTACCAACCTGCTCTTTTTTATAAATTTTCTTTAATTACTCTCTATAGTTTATTAATTACAAATTAATACAGCTTAATATGAGATACTTCTATACCATTCTGGCTAATCTGTAATTGAAAAGTACTACTCAAGTCTGTCCCGTTTGCCCACTGATGTGATCATGTGTAATGGGATATAGTTCCTTAGTACAAGATATGAATAGTCTAGGATGAGAACATGGAACAGCCCCTGAATTTCCTTCAGTTAGTGAATATGAATTGGAGACTCTCCTTCTAAAGGACTGACTTGAGTTATTTAAGTCAGAACCTTCATTTGGATTTTTTTTTTAGTAAGTTGCTCTGTTCTTGTTTTTCACCTAGAGCCAGTAATCTGTGGTGTATGTTCCAAAACATTCAAACGCAAAGATTACCTTCGACAACATCAGAAAACACATGCTGAAGAAAGAGAAGTATGTCGATGCCCAAGAGAAGGCTGTGGGAGAACTTACACAACTGTGTTCAATCTTCAGAGCCATATTCTTTCATTTCATGAGGAGAAAAAACCATTTTTTTGTGATTATGCTGGCTGTGGAAAAGTGTTTGCAATGAAAGTAGGTATTGTAGACTGCTTTAAAATCCAGAATATCTTCTCTTGAGTCATGTCAACATAACTTTCTTCTCAATTGCAGCAAAGTCTTGCAAGGCATGCTGTTGTACATGATCCTGACAAGGGAAAGCTGAACTTAAAAGTAAGTCAAGTACTTCTGCAAACACCTCTGAGCCATTTCCTTTCTCTTCAAGGAGCAAAGAGTAAATTAATTTAAACACATACAATTATGTAAAGTGTCTTTAAAATTGGAAGCTAGTCTAGCCACTACTTTATTTTATGTAGGCACTGAGTATTTCTGAATTTAAATACTGTAAAGGAGGGCAAAGAATAATTGAGTGTTCAGGGGTAGACAACCTATGGTATGTGTGCCAAAGGCAGCACGCGAGCTGATTTTCAGTGGCACACTCGCTACCATTTTAAAAACCTTATTTACTTTACATCAATAGGTTAGTTTAGTTATATATTATAGACTTATAGAAAGACTTCTAAAAACGTTAATGTATTACTGGCATGCGAAACAATGAAGACTCGGCACACCACTTCTGAAAAGTTGCCCACCCCTGGTTCAGATGATCAGGATTTTTTTTAATCTATAAAGTAGGAAGGCTGCTAATACTGTACTGTGAATCTTTTATAAGGCAAAACAAACTCGTCCTAAACGAAGTCTGGCCTCTCGTCTGAGTGGATATATTCCTCTTAAAGCACAGCGCCGAAAGGTTGAAGCGGCAACAGAAAATAAGGCTCTGAATAAACCTGCAGAAAATGAGTTACCAACTGTTGAAACACTGACTCTGCACTAGAGACTTCTGGAGATGACAACTTCAGCCAGAATTGACAATTGTTTTATTATCACATGGGTCAGTTTATAATGGCTTATGTAGAAAACTGAATATTTTGTTTTATAGTCAATTCAAGTGTTTGGTTAAAATCACTGCAGTTCACTCGACTCAGTTTCATTTCCACTCTCCTTGTTCCGAATGTCTGTCTGTTTTTCTTTTTCCATTTTCCTGTACTCATTAACTTCTTTTTCTGACATGTGTCTTAAAACACATGTGCTCTTTCCTTCTTTAATGACTCTTGGCTGGGATAAGTAAGTAGCTTTCTCGGGCATAGTCTTGACAATCTGATCAAAGAAAGCCAGCTGAAAACGAAAAATAAAAATTTGGTTATATTAACAAGGGGATTTAAGCAGGCCATTTCTAATAATTCTTCAGAGTAAGTGAAGAGAGATTAAAATTTTAAGTCTGGTCTACCTCTATGGCAGTTTCTTACAGTTAATCTGATACAACATTAGCTCTGATTTGGACTATGAGTGCAGCACAGAGATAATCACTTATGTCTTACTCTACTCATCACCACAGTAAGTGAGGCTTTTAAAGTGCCAAAGCCTTTTTAGAAGGCTGTTTCAGTGGTGAAGTTCCAGTAAGCACATTCTCCTTTACACCTATGTTATCTTTCCACTTGATTCTTAAAAGATTTCATGGTCACACTATGCTTATAATAATTTCACTTAATAGAAAAGGTTAGCCATACAGTTGCAGTGGTAGGCTCAACTAGTGCCTGAGTGAAGGAAACATTTCTAAAATAAGTTACAAAATGTCAGAAGTAGAGAATCTGTCAGGTAGGGACAGTGAAATTCTCTACTCTGAAATTCAGTCTTAAGCTAATTCATAATGACTGAAGGGTGTCATAGAAGATACCTGCACAAGGGGGGGGGAGCCCCGTTCTCTTCAATCTTACTTGCAAAAAGCATTTCATTTGTATCAATAAAATTTTGTTCCACTTTTAAAGTAAATCATTAACGTTTACACACACAAAGAATTGCGTCAGTGAGATACTAAGTCCTGTTCTCCTAAATTAGCAAATAGACCCACCATGATCAGATGTAAGTCACTGCAAAGTAATGTGTAATGAAACAAAAGGAAGCATACCCTAGAAGCCACCTATTGACCCTCCAGTAAACGGAATTGCTAAAGAAGGTACTCCAGTAGGAGTGGGGAGACAGAAGCTGGATTCTTTGCATTTGTCAGCAAGGTGGCCAAGTACCATGAGCTAGCTTTCATGCATATTGAAGAAAGGGAGTCATAGATTCCAAGCCAGAAGGGATCATTGTGATCTAGTCTAACCTTCTGTAGAACAAAGGACATAAAACTTCCACAGAGTAATTCCTTTTGAACTATACCATCTCTTAAAAAACAAACAAACCTCTTACATTAATAAATTGCCAGTGAGGAAGAATCCACCATCAATCCTTGCTAAATTATTCCAATGATTAACTACTCTCACTGTTAAACAGCTAAACCTAATTTCCAGTCTGAACTTATTTAGCTTCAACTTCCACATTGTCTTACTTTAACTAACTATGCATTAGAATAATGCAGTGTTAAAACATTTCAAGGCAATGTGTGAGATTTACTTGTGTAAACACATTGTTCAAATTATCTCTGTGAAGAGACAATTAGTTCTGAATGGTGGTGTCTGATAAATGGAAATAACTTCACTTAAAAGGAAGCAGGTTTTTGCCCTCTGTACTAATGTCACAACCATCACATACTGGTAAGAGTATACTATCAAAGGAAGAAAGCAATATTATACCTGGAAACACTTGGCACTGGTAGCCTTATTTAATACATTTGGCTGACACTTTAAAAAACCTTAATATAGCTTACCATCTTTTCTGGTCCATCTGCAACATTTCTTTGCTGTACAGAAATTCTGACATGATGCTTCTTATCAATCCACTGCTGAATCTGACTAATTTTAGTCTCTAAGTCATGTTTTGCAATAGCTGCAGAAAAAGTTAACTCCTTCAGCTGAACAGGCCCTGTTAAAATATAACCAATAATATATAGGCTTCAAACTACGTTTAGTAGTGTTGTGTACACCCCTATTCTGTGTTCTAATGCACTGAGGCTACTGGGAGGGTTTTTTTGGGGAGGAGGGAGGAGAAAAGTACAAGTCAGACAAGTGTCTTTATTCTTATGAACCCATCTTTCCTACTCCATTAAGAGTTCCCTATCTTACCTGTTTATCATTATTTTTGCATGCTCACAATACCTTATGTCCTCATATTTAAATATATGGAGATATACCTATCTCATAGAACTGGAAGGGACCCCGAAAGGTCATCGAGTCTAGCCCCTGCCTTCACTAGCAGGACCAAGTACTGATTTTGCCCCAGATGGCTCCCTCAAGGATTGAACTCTCAACCCTGGGTTTAGCAGGCCAATGCTCAAACCACTGAGCTATCCCTCCCCCCATATCGTGCTCATTACCACGCTGCCCCCTCCTATGCTGCTCAGAACATGTTCCCATTACCATGATGGCAGGCCTTTCCTCTTTCAACATCCCTCTTAAAGAGCTCTCTTTTCCATAAGGCTCATAATCAGTAACCAATATTAAACTAGAGATGTGAGGTGGTGGTGGAAAGGATAACAATCTTAAGGTTACCATTTCTAGTCACTCAATCCATGTTCTTCAGACTAACCAGGTTTGGTCAAGGTCTGTCTCAGATGAGGCTGAGTACAACTCAGGTACTTAACAAATAAGGCTGTTCCAAGCTGTACCTGGCCATGAAATGTATGAATCCCAAATTATGCTTTTTTAAATATAAGAAGGCTAAGTGTTTTCCCATTGTATAGTTAAGTGGGAAAACTTTTAAAAATTAGTCATCCCCCTCCACGCCATCTCCATTCTGTTTCAAAAGATCACACAGCCTTGAATTCTGTTAGAAATAAGTCCCTGTAATAGCATAAACACAACTCATTCTCCTCCCACCCTCTGCATATGCTCTTAAATATCCATTATTACAAACTTCTTTTTGTAGGTGTTTTAACAAGAGCTAACCAAAACTGTTACAGTGGTGCTACTGCGGTAGCTCACCTGTCTCAAATCAGTAGTAAATAGCAGAAAACATCAAAAAGTGTGAACAATTTCTTAGTTTGCATGAGGATAACCCAAGACAGTCAGACATCACTATATACAAACACCTTCTCTAAGTGCTCCATCTTGCCAAGTTATCAACCCAATAATTTAAACTACAGGTACAGAATGATTTATGAGGAAAAAGTGAATAATTTTGGTTATTTTATATAAAAAAGTGGAAGGGTCCATTTGGAACACTGTAAATACATTGCTGTCAAGGCTTCCAGATTTTCTCTCCTATATGTTGAGCAATGTTTTGTGACTGTCAGTGACAAAAGTATGCTTCTTATAGATATGGCATATCAGTTGTGAAAACTGTATCATTTATAAAGAAGTTTGCATTCATAAAAATTAATGATCATTTAAAAGAACAAAAATTCAATATGAATGCCATGGTACCAGAATCTAGGTCATTCATTTATATAAGTACTTAAACAATACCAGAAGCCAAAATATTAATTATGAGAGCATAACAGAATGGTTTTCTACATTAACTAGACTAAACCAATTTTTGCGTTTTCAGCATGCAAATCTAAAATAACATTGACTGTGATGACAGTACTCTGGATTTACATTGATGTAACAAACTGGATTTGATTTACTGCCACTACTTCTAATACAGCAGTTTTCGAAGTGTTTAATATTATATTAGCAAGATACCTACCAGCTTTTGAACTTGCTTTTTGCTTCTCTCTACGTTTGAGCTGCTCTTCATGAATCTGCTTCCCAGTCATTAGTCTGTACACTGGAGGATCTTTATTTTCGCACAGTGGAACAAGCTTCAGATCACGCTCATTCATGAGTCGAATCACATCTCCTCTGTGCATATTTCCTAAGCTGTTTCCATTTTCACTAATTACATGAATGATCTGCTGAGGAATTTTCCTCCCAATGCTTCCAAATGGTCTTTGGGCATTTGTTTTTTTTTCTTTCCTTCTGGTTTCTTTTCAGCTTCTTCAGTTGTACAAAATGATTTTGTAGGTACAAACATAAGTCTCCTTTTAGCACCAGCCATCACCATCAGTGCTTGAGAGAATGTTGTCTTTTGCATGGTTTGCACCAAAGGAATGTCCAAGTATTTACTTATGCAACTAGTTTCATTCCTTGTGGCTTGATGTATTAATTTCCTTAGGCAAAGAGCAGCCATTCTGAGAAAATGGGGAAAAAAGAAAAAACAAACCTCTATTCATTAGTTAAAAAGACCTAAGTCAGGGTTGGCAGCCCTAATTTTTAAACTATCCTTTCATTTGTTTGCAAAGTCATGTATTTTTTTATTTAATTAGACTCAAGGTGCACAGTCATCAGCGACCCTACAATTAATAAAGCGTTCATACAATAGAGAAAGAAGGGTTTGGCAGGGAAACCATTTCAGGCTTCTGAAGGGTCATCATAAAGAGTTTTTTTCAAATATTTTAAAATGTAGGGTCTAAACTTACTTTAAAGAACCCCAAAGAGTTATTATGTGAGCTAGCTGATTTACCATTCTAAGACCAGATAGTTTGTCATTGTCTGGAGGGGTGGGTTTTGTTTTTAAATAAAGTCTCAACATTTGAAGTTACATGCACAAATGAAGGAAGTTGGATGGAAAATCTGACAGTGGAACCTCTCTCCTGGTGCTACCGGCACCCTCCTTGATTAGAATATTTTCTTTCACTTATACTACACTGACTCAGGTCCACCAAGACACTCAAGAGTAGTTGAGGTCTGTGCATCAGATCTCTGCAAAGTCCTTAGAAGTTCATGTCCCTGAGGTCTATAGGAAGCTTGGAACTTAAAAGATTGAGACTTCCATGCATAATCTTTGCACACATGCTTAAAACTTGACCATTACCATACCTGTAGAAAGCCCATAGAGAGGAGCACACATTTATCCCAGGGTTGAAATCGTCCTTTAGTATACAACCTATTTCTTACATCAGTGACTCAAAATAACAATAATAGTTTATTTTCCTCAAAATATGAGCTACCCAAACTTAATCCCATATAAGCAATCAAAGGAGGATACTTGGCAGTTTTGCTGTTATATGGGTTAAGTCCTATTGTCATTTCAGTAACTAAACTAGAAAGCTCTGTCATCTCTAAGTTCAGACAAATATGCAGTAATATTAGAGCACAGCTGCATCTATATTAGTGGTTTCACTTGTCAAGCTATATTGTTTTGACAAAAGTTGAAAATAAAGATTTGCTATTGACAGTGTTTAAAGTGTGCACAATCTTGTTACGGTATATAGTGAGTTAGGACAATATCCTGATGTTTCTCCCTACTCCTCCAAAGGCATTTAAAGGCATAGAGAATGCACTCAACCAAGAAACCAAGGGGTGTGGGGAGAGTGCATTTTACTATGGCTATCCCAAGAAAGCTGTTAAAATGCTTTTTCTGTCCAAGGTGATGTTTGTGAAGCAGGCAGACTGGGAGAGGACGGTAAGATAAGAGTTTGCTACAGGCATATGGAATGTGGCAGTATTTAATAGAGTATGTCCACACTGCAGGCTCAAGCCTAACCTCCCTTCTGTCTACACACAAATCGCACTAACAGAGGACTTAGACCCAGGCTCCCAGGACCCCACCAGGATGGAGGGTCTGAGCCCGAGTCAAGCCGGGGCTCTGGATTCAAACCCTCTTGCTTTGCAGTATAGACACAGCCCTAGTAGATGCATGCTCCGGGAGTCTGCCAAAAGTATCCCATGGGCCAACTTTCTTTGTCCTCTGGACAGTCAAGTTTGGTGGCCAGTAAAGTTTTCCCACACTGCACCATGAACAAAGGGCTAGAGCAGCCACATTTTGGGAGGGCGCTAAGAAGTCTGAGATATGGTTGGTTGGACTTGGGCCCACAGCCTAGATGCTGGAAACTCCAGGCTGGGACTCAGGGTTTAACAATTCCTAACCGGGGGTCACAAATGAATGTAGAGGCAGAATCAGGATTAGAATCTAGGTCACCTGAGTCCCCAATCCTGTATCCTACACACCACCACATTGCCTTTCCTCTAGTGTTCCTGATCATAAAGAATGTCACATGCTCAATACCAAAATGTATCCTCCATCCCAAAGAACCTGGTATTATTTCACTAATTACTGACCAGAAAAATGAAATTCCCGCTACCCCAAACATACACATAATTTCAAACTTTGTTCTCCTTGTCTTCCTTATTCAGTACCATGGACTAACATTTTAAATGCCATATCTGCCCCCGCAAGAAACCCATGCTCATTTGCTGTGGGAAAGAAAAGTATCTTTTTACAACAATGGATTTTGCTGCTTATATATATATATATATATATATGTGTGTGTGTGAGAGAGAGAGAGAGAGAGTGTGTGTGTGTGTGTGTCTGGGAAGGACCATGCACAGCTGGGAGAGGGTATTTTACTATGAATTTTACAGTGTCTGGGGAGGGTGTATGTGTCCAGAGAGGAGGGTGTTTTGCTGTGTGTGTACGTTGACAGGATACATGTGCATGCTGAGAGGGAGGTGTTTTGCTGAGTGCTGGGATAAGGTATTTTGCTGTGTGGGAGTGTGCATGCACATGAGCAGGGAGCTATTTTTTTCTGTGCACAAGTGCACTGGGAGGAGGTATTTTGGGTGCGTGTGTATGTGTGCTGGGAAGGAATATTTTAGAGATGGTGTGGGAGGGAGCATTTGGGATGTACGTGCAGGCCTGTTGTGGGAGAGGGTATTTTGGGGGGGTATTTGGGGAATGTGGGAGGGAGTCAGGGTGGGCTGATTTAAATTATAATGATTTAAATCACTGATTTTAATCAACTTTTCTATTTGTACTTCAGTTCTTTTCTAAAGAAAAGTGCAGTCTCATTGGTTGATATAATCATTAAAACATATTGATTTACAACTAATTAGAGCCTTTATTCTAGATTTGGTACTTTTTTGCTATCTAGTAGAGTACACTATAACTATATACGTGTACTTAAGCAATTACTTCATTTAATGTTTTCAGATTCTTATTGATTGTACAGTTTTAGTATATTAGAGAATAGTGAATGATATATTGCTTATTTACTAGATAATTAACTTTTTGCTCATGACTTCATAGTATCATAGAATATCAGGGTTGGAAGGGACCTCACGAGGTCATCTAGTCCAATCCCCTGCTCAGACTTGTCAAGCTGCATTAGGATGGTAACAAATTTAATTAAACAGAGGAAACAGCGCACAAAATTTATTTTTATTAAACAAAACAAGCCCTTACTATAGTACTTGAACTATTTTGCCATATTTATAAAGCTTGATCTCAAAAGTTAGATGTTTTCCCCAATTCTTTCTTTATCAAGAAAAGCAGCCTTTAACTAAAAGTTCTGATCAAGGCTCACTGGTTCAGCATACAGTATTTATTTTTTCTTTAAATGTTTTAAGAGATTCTAATAAATTTAGGCTTTAGTATATTTTGTATTAAATTCAGATATTTGTAACAGTTTGATATTTTGAAGAAAATCTTATTATAATTTAAATAACAAAATAAACAAATCCAGTTTAAATAAAAAATCTGATATTTTTAATCCATTTTTATCCACCCAAGAGAGGGTATTTTGGGGGCATGTGCTGAGAGATGGGTATTTAGGAAGGGTGTGAGTACTTTGAAGGGGTATTTTGGGGGTGCTGGTAGGGGCTATTTTGGTGGTATGGGGCATGATGCTGGGAGGGATGTATGTACTGGGAAGAAGTATTTGGGGGTGTTGGGATGGGTGTGCGCTGGGAAGGGGTATTTTCGGGAGGTGCTGGGGGTATATACTGGGAGGGGATATTTGGAGGTGCTGGAGGGGGTACCTGGGGGTGCTGGAGGAGTGTGTACTGGGAGGAATATTTGAGGTTACTGGAGGGGGTATGTGGGGGGTACTGGGAGGAGGTACCTGGGGGCAATACCAGATTTACAATGGTGCCACTGGCACCATGCCCACGGTCGAATGGGGCCCCGGCACGCTCTTCTCCGCCCCCCGCTCTCTCCTGTGGGGTCAGAGAAGCTTGACTCTGCTGCTGCTGGGGCTCCGTGGCAGCCTCTGCCTGCAGCCTGGCTCCTGCCCTGCCCCTTTCCCCAGCATGCTGTGTTCCCTCCCTGCCACCGATCAGCTGGATCAGCCTTGCAGGCAGGAGGCGAGAGCCACAGCACGCTGCTCTGGAGAGGACGACGAAAAGAGGCGGGGTGAGGTCTTGGGGAAGGGGCTGGAATTGGGGCATACCCCCTCCAGCCCCCTGTGTGAGCACCCCCATGACCCCAACCCACCCCCCCGAGTCCCTGCCCACCCTAACCCCTGCACCCCCTCACATACCCCCAGCCCCCTGCCCTGCCTCCTGCATCCCCCCCCCACATCCTCACCCCCATCCTGAGAACCAAACAGGAGCTGCCGCAGGTAAGCGCTCCACACCCCAACCCTGAGCCCCCTCCCTCGCCCTAGCTCCTGGCCAGACCCCATACCCGAACATTTTTTTACAATATTTGGAATGATCATTACGTGGTCCATGGAGACCCTCCGTGATTTTCAAGTGGTCTGTGGAAAAATAAGTTAGACTACAAAAACAATCAAGGTACCTCACTTTATTTTCATTTACTTGCTATTACTTATGGGAGGAGGATGAAGAAAAAAAGAATGAAAAACGGGGCAGGGGGAGATAAGAGAGAACGTTCTTTTTCTTGACTGAGTGCCAAGGAGAAGCCCCAAAAATGAAGCTGAGCACAGGGCTGGGGGGGCCTCACTAACTCCAAATCTACCACTGGCTGTCACGTCACCTGGGCTGGGGATGCTGTCAGGGCCGGTGTAATCACTAGGTGAACTAGGCGACTGCCTAGGGCACCAAGATTTGGGGGTGCCAAAAAGCGGTGCCCCCCAAAAAATTTTTACACTACAGTGGAGTCACATCTTATATGGGGGTTAGGTTCTAAAGTCACCGCGTAAGAGGAAAATCGCATATAGTGAAAATTACCATAAAGTACAGTATATATTAGAACAGGGATCCTCAACCTATGGCACGCATGCCAAAGGTGGCACGCAAGCCGATTTTTTTTTAATGGCAGGCTGCGGGTCCCGGCTGCCGCTGGGCCTGCTGCCGAACTGCGGTTCTGTTCACTCCGCTGGCAGCAGGCTGAGCAGAGCCAGCAGTGGGCCGGCTCCTGCCAGCCGGGGTCCCAGCCACCAGCCCCTCTCAGGCTGCTGGGGTCCCAGCCAGTTCCACTCAGACTCCTGCCGGCCTGGGTGAGCGGTCTGGGGTTCTGTTCACCCAGCGTTCCGTCCGCCGGCCTGGGGTTCCGTTCACCCAGCGTTCCGTCCGCTGGCCTGGGGTTCCGTTCACCCAGCGTTCCGTCCGCCGGTCTGGGGTTCCGTTCACCCAGCATTCCGTCCACTGGCTTGGGGTTCTGTTCACCCAGCGTTCCGTCCGCCGGCCTGGGGTTCCGTTCACCCAGCGTTCCGTCCGCTGGCCTGGGGTTCCGTTCACCCAGGCCGCCAGGAGCCTGAGCAGATCCAGTGGTCAGGACCCCGGCTGGCAGCGGGCTGAGCAGGCTGAGCGGGGCTGGCGGCTGGGACCCCGACTGGCAGGAGCCAGCGGACGGATCCCCAGACCAGCCCGCTGACGGTCTGGGGTCCCGGCCGCCCTGCTCAGCTTGCTGACGATCTGCGGTTCCGGCGGCCGGCCCCTTGCCAGGCAGGATCTCAGCCACCGGCCCTGCTCAGCTTCCTGCCGGTCTGGGTGAACGGAAGGAGGCTGAGCGGAGTCGCCGGCTGGGACCGGGTGAGTGCACTGGGAGGGGCATTAGGGGGGTACTGGATGGGTGTACGTGTACTGGGAAGGGCACCGTCTGAGTGCACTGGGCAGGGTATGGGGGGGTACTGGAGGGGTGTACATGTACTGGGAAGGGCACCGGGTGAGTGTACTGGACGGGTTATGGGGGGGGGGTTATGGAGGGGTGTACGTGTACTGGGAAGGATACTGGGTAAGTGCACTAGGTGGGGCATGGGGGGTACTGGAGGGGTATACGTGTACTGGGAGGGGCATTAGGGGGGTACTGGAGGGGTGTACGTGTACTGGGAAGGGTATGGGGGGGTTCTGGAGGGGTGTACATGTACTGGGAAGGGTACTGGGTGAGTGCACTGGGAGGGTCATTAGGGGGGTACTGGATGGGTGTACATGTTCTGGGAAGGGCACCGGGTGAGTGTACTGGACGGGGTATGGGGGGGGGTACTGGAGAGGTGTACGTGTACTGGAAAGGGTACCGGGTGAGTGCACTGGGCGGGGTATGGGGTGGGGGTACTGGAGGGGTATACGTGTACTGGGCGGGACATTGGGGGGGTACTGGAGGGGTGTACGTGTACTGGGAAGGGTACCGGGTGAGGGCACTGGGGGGGTACTGGAGGGGCATACGTGTACTAGGAAGGATATGGGGGGTACTAGAGGGGTGTACCTGTACTGGGCGGGGCATTGGGGGGCTATTGGAGGGGTGTACGTGTACTGGGAAGGGCATTGGGGGGGTACTGGAGGGGTGTACATGTACTGGGAAGGGCACCGGGTGAGAGTACTGGGCGGGGCATGGGGGGGTCCCGGGGGGGTGGTGCTGGAA